AGAAAAAGAAAAGTGTTTTCACTGTGATCTTTATTGAATTTTTTAACTCTTGGAAAAATTGTGCAATTGACATAAAATAATTCTAAAAATCCATATTGTTGGTGAGTTTTCCTTTCAGAAAGAGTAAGAGCTGGCCATATCTAGAAAAACTAAAGTTTGAATAAAACTTTTTAAGTTTTAAGCCAAGAATTAGAAATATTTTCTATCCCAGAATAAATTTGACCAATTTTTTTAGTAGTCTTAAGTTATGAATACATTAGTTAAAAATTATTTATTTTGTGATGTTCTTATAGTAAGTACATACAGAAGCTGTGTTCTTACAATCCTCCATTCCTTAAAGTAGTTAAAGTACTTGCCTTGCCTTGTGTGTGTGTATGTGTCACTCATCCTTTGGCTTAGTCCCTGATCTATAAGGTGTTGCCACGGCAGAATGAACTGCCCATTACTCAGCTGTAACTGACATTTTCTATAATTCATGCATGGAAGTTAAAGAATATCAGATAGTACTTCAGAAAAATGTGTTTAATGACCTTGACTCCTGCACCTTTTTTCCTCCCTGTACTGTGCTTGCAACTACAATTGCACTACATGCAGCTACACTACCAGCTACACTATAGAGGGTCTCTCGGTGCAGCTCCACCTCTGGGCTCAGTGGTTCTTGAGGTGCAGCTCCACTTCTGGGCTCAGTGAGTCTCCTGATGCAGCTCCACCTGTGAGCCCAAAGACAAGATTTTAAAATATAAATCTGAAAAAAAAACGAGGACCGCTTAGATTTTCTGAGGCACACTTAGACTCTCTTTTCTGGCTATCCTGGTAAGTTTTGAAATTATAATAAAGAAATGTTTGGTGTAGTATATGTGGTTCACTATTATAATGAGTGGAGGAAAAAGAAAATGTTGAATTAAAAGCGATCGATCACTGATCTTCAGTGACTTTTTGAAATCTTTCAAAAGATGTGTCATTGATGTAAAACATTTCTAAAAATTCATATTTGTGAAACTGAAAAAGCTGGATATATTTAGAACTAAAGTTTGCATAAAAGTCAGACAGAATTGGAGGCCAAAAATTGAAATTACTTCCTTATCCATGTATACATTTTATTTTAATTTCTAATTTTTTGGTAGTGTTAAGGGTTAAAAACATTTGAAGAGAATGGTTTGTTTTGTGATGCTAGTATAGTGTGTATATATATTAGCTGTGATTACAATCTTGCATTTCAAAAATGTGTTCCATGATGACATCATTAATAGAAGATGGCTGGCAGTGACAGTCAAGTGTGCTCAATGCCACAGACATTCTGTGAAAACATTTTATACAAGGAGATCAAATGACATTAAAGAAAAATAGTATGTGTAGTGAAGTATGATGAATATGTTATTATTATTTTATAAACTAGATTTTATAGAAAACAATAAAACAAATTGCATTGTGAGACTGATTCTGTAACCTGTTAGTATATCTATTTTATTTCTTATTTTTCGAAAATGTTAAATCATTTTGTATTATAATAAAATATTTTGCATATATATCAACATAACTATTTAGGGCTTTCACACAAAATAAGAATCATTTCATGCATGCTGTAAAGAAATCAGCTACAAATTTTATGTCATATTTCAAATATTAATATCTACAGTATAACTGAGATGATTCAACATGAATGGATAAATTTAAAATACTGTAAGTTGTTACAATCAGCAGTGACTGTTTTCTATGATTTTTTACAAATTGCTAATAGGTTTCTACATTTGTTATTACTGCAGTTATTCCAAAAATGTCTTTAATGATATTGTAAAATCATTATTCCTAATAATTGAACTGACATAAATAGCACAACATGTAATTTAAAAACTCCTTTAAATTCCATATTGTCAGCTGTGTCGGTATGCCCTTTGTTACTCCTAGTTGCGTGGTGACTAGACTACATATGTGGACAGTTAAATATTTTTTTTTTAAAAAGGTACAATTTTTAATAGATTGAAATTTTACCATCACATTAAAGTACTAAAAATACTTTAAAAATCTAGATAATGTTTTTCATAATTTATGAATGTCAACTTCATAATTAGAAAAAATATATAAAAAGTAATTCCTAAATGAGTGTTGCTGCATTTGCGACTGGAATTTCTCAATATGCAGCTCCAGCTCTGGGCTCAGTGGGTCTCCTGGTGCGGCTCCAGCTCTGGGCTCAGTGGGTCTCCTGGTGCAGCTCCACCTCTGGGCTCAGTGGGTCTCCTGGTGCAGCTCCACCTCTGTGCTCACTGGTCTCCTGGTGCAACTCCACCTCTGGACTCAATGGATCTCCTGGTGCAGCTCCACCTCTGCACTCTAAGTCCAAGCCAATGTTTAATAATGAAATCTGACCAAAAAAATAAATAAAATAATTTTTTTTAAAATATGGCACAGCCAGTTTTTCTGATACACAAATAGACTTTATTTTCTTGCTAAGCTGGTGATTTTTGCAAATGTAATTTATAAAATGTGGTTCATTATTATAACCAGTGAGGGAAAAAGAAAACCCTTAAATTAAAAGCAGTCACTTATAGTTAACTTTATTATAGGTAATTCACAGCATAAGGTTAAAAAAAACTAGATTAAAACATTTGCTTGGAATGTTGTATGTACAAAAAAAAAAACACCTTTCAAGAACAACTTATGTTTGAAATAATTTTGATAATTTCAAGCCAAGGATTGACAAATATTTTCTGTAGTCTAAAGTTTAGGGTTAAAAAAACATCTTAAAAGAATAGTTACATTTGTGATGTTAGTGTACTACATGTAGAAGCTGTGATCTTACAATCCTGCATTCCAAAATCCATTTGTTCCACAGTATGTAAAAACAACAACAAACCTTAAAGAATAATTGTAATGTTCTACTGACATTTTATTGAAGCATAAGATTGATTATTAAAAACCAAAGAAACACAGGAATGATATCTTTTATAATGTTATATAGTACATATCCTGTAGAAGCATGTAAAGAACATAGATTTACATGATGACATTATAAATAGAAGATGGCTGACAATGACAGACATGTGCTAAAAGCCCCAGACATCCTGTACAAGATCAATTAAGGTAATTTATACAGTTGAAGTCAAAAACATTCATCCTCCTATGATTTTTTTTCTTTTTCAAATGTTTCTCAAATGATGTTCAACATTGCAAGTAATGTTTACCTATAATATATTTTCTTCAGGAGAAAATCTCATTTTGTTTTAACTTAGAATAAAAAGCAGTTTTTAATAACAAAACAAAACATTTTAATGTCAACATTTTTAGCCTCCTTGAGCAATATCTTTTTTATTGGATACAAAACACACCATTGTTATACAATGACTTGCCTAATTACTCTAACTTGCCTAGTTAACCTAATCAACCCAGTAAAGCAGTTAAATTGCCCTTTAAACTGGATACTATAACTCGCAAAAAACTAGTAACATATTATTTACTGTCATCATGGCTAAGATAAAAAATCAGCTATTAGAAATTAATTATTAAACAATTATGTTTAATAAGGTGTTAAAAAAACTTTTCTCTGTTAAAAAATTAATTGGAGAAAAATATTAAAAAGAAATGAGGGCTAATAATTTTGATCTCAACTGTATATAGTACAGTGAAGTGTGATGAATTAGAGTAAATTTGTAAAAAAAAAAAAAAATTTTAGATAATATTTATTCAACAAAAAAACAAAACAAAAAAGTGAAAATTAGAAATGTTTAATTTTTAAAATAAACATTCAAAATTACTAGCCTCTTTAATCTATCTATATCTATATCTATATCTATATCTATATATATATATTGTCAAACCATCATCAAACAATGACTTGCCTAATTATCCTTACCTGCCAAATTGACCTAATTAACCTAGTTAAGCTTTAAATGTCACTTTAAGCTGTATAGAAGTGTCTTGAAAAATGTCTAGTCAAATAATATTGACTGTCATCATGGCAAAGACAAAATAATTCAGTTATTAGAAATGAGTTATTAAAACTATTATGTTTAGAAATGTTGAAAGAATCTTCTCTCAGCTAAACAGAAATTGGGGAAAAGATAAACTAGAGGCTAATAAATGGGGGGGGGGGGGTAATCAAGTTTACCTTCACATTTAATTACTAAAACATTTATATTCTTAAATGTTAGTAACATTTTCCATAATTTATGCAATAAAGAACATAAGAGATTTATTGTTTTTACCTTGTGCCCATTTTTTTCCTTTATTGATTACGCTTGCAACTATAACTGTTCTATGTGCAGCTCCACCTCTGAGCTCAGTGGGTCTCCCGGTGCAGCTCCACCTCTGGGCTCAGTGGGACTCCTGGTGCAGCTCCCCTTCTATGCTCAGTGGGTCTCCTGGTGCAGCTCCACATCTGGGCTCAGTGGGTCCCCTGGTGCAGCTCCACCTCTGGGCTCAGTATGTCCCATGGTGCAGCTCCACCAGTAAGCCCAAGCCAAGAATTTTAAAGTATTTCAATAAATGTGGCACACCCTGTTTTTCCGAGGCACACCTTACTCTCTTTTCTGACTATGCTATTAAGTTTAGCAAATACAGTTAACAAAATGCTTGGTATAGTATATGGTTTACTTTTATAATCAGTGGGAGAAAAAAAAAAACTTGAAATTAAAATGGTCTCTGTGATGAGCAATGACTTTTTGAACTTATTCGAAAGATGTGCAAATGACACAAGGTTTTCTAAAAATCTATAATTGTGGTAGTTTCTGAAACAGAAATTGCTGGATATATCAAAAAACATTAATAAAAACCAGACATCAAAAAACCCAAATTTTTCATATTTCTCTATCCTGGCATAAATTTATGCTATTTTATAGACATACTGTATTTATAGAGCATGTCATTTTATAAGTATCTTAATCATTACAATCAAATTTCAGCTTAAGGTTAAATAATAATAATAAAAAAAGAGATTAAAACAAGTGTTTGTAATGTCATATGTATAAAACATTTAAGAAACATTTAAGAATTAAACAAAATAATAGTAATATTCTATTCACATTTTTATTAAAGCATAACATTATGAAAAGGAAGCAAAAAAAATTAGACAGATCAAAAATTAACATTGGTAGAAAAAATCTTCAGAAAGCCTGAAATTAACAAGAATTCATTCAAATCATTTAAGATCTGTTGAATTGCACACATCAAGACTTATTTTTTTTCTTTTTCTTGTGACGTCTCTCCACATCTGGAGAGTGTGAATCCCTGTGGGCAAAGCAAAAGCATAGAACAGTATAGGTATTCAGCCTCAATACATGTTGTCATGACTCATTTCCATAATATTCAATATAGGATAAAAAAAAAAAATTAAAATAAAAGACTGATTGCTTTTCTGATTGTTTAGTTTAGTTAAAGTAAGAACAGGTGTTCTTATAAAACATTTTAAATCATCTTAATATGTAGAATACCTTTTATAGCGACAATCAACTGTGTTAGTGAAAATCAACTAATAAAGAACATCAGCTCATTATTCAGAAGTGAGTGTTTAATGACCTCACCTCCTGCTCCTTTTTTTCTTCTCTCGACTGTGCTTGCGACTACGACTTCGGCTGCGCTTACGGTGTCGTTTGTGCTCATGCTCGTCTCGGGAGCTGATACGAGATGCACGCGACTCAACGGATGCAGAACGACCTTTCTCAGATTCCGCTCTGCAACCATAAACCAACATAAAACCATCATCAGTGAATCTGTGCTGGAAAGGGATTGAGGAAAGTGATTGACTGGAACAAAAATCTGACATATGACCTGTGAGACGACTGTTGTGATACTTGGGACTCCTCTTCCTTTGCTTCCTGCCATATCCTGCCTAGTTCTCCAGAGTGGACATCAATGACCTCTCGAATTACCTAGAAAAGGGAAGGAAAATGAATAAACCCGTGCTAACTTTCTTCATGGTTCTCAAGCCATCTTTTACAATATAATCCAGTATGCAAGAGTATATGGTTTACATTTATTATTTAAAAGTATTTACATCACATTTATGCTTGATGCTTCTTTTTATATCCAGAGTAAATTGTTATATTGAGCGTACACTCTGAGTTCTTGAATTCAAAAATACAAATATGTTGAAACCTTGATTTTGCTAGTACCATGCTCTATTATTTGAACTACAGATAGGCTATATAGAGGAAAGTAGATAAAATTAACAAACAAATCACAGACCTCGGTGTAGGTCTTCTTGGTGATGTGAACGTTTTTTGCTCTGTAAGACTGTCTGCGCCTCTTGTAGTCCCTCATCTCAGCCAAAACCTCCAGATGAGACTTTGGCCCACTCTGATTCACTTCTGTAGAGTAAAATATTTAAATAAACACATAATACTAAACTAAATCTGGTACTTAGTATACTGATGGATGTGTTGATTGATTAAAAGACTTGAAAGTGAAGGGATTTATGAGCTTTTCTTTAATATTGCAGCATTTAGATCTCATCATTGTGCCTTTAGAGCTCCATCTCAGGGCTCAGTGAGCCCTATAGTGTAACTCCACCACAGGGCTGAACTGACCTTAAGATGCAGCTCTGCCCTAGGGCTCAGTGGGTCAAGTGGTGGAGCCACACCTCAGGGCTCAGAGGGTCCCATGGTGCAGCTCTGCCCTGGGGCTCAGTGGGCCCTATGGTGGAGCTCTGCTTAAAGTTAAGTTACTATGTATTGACGATTTCACAGCAGTGTTAATTTTGTTAATGAAAATGTGGGCTAAATAATATTTGTTGTCAATACTTTGACACAAATAGAAACTTGAAAGGTCATCTGCACTAGTAACATGACGAAAAATTCTGATTCACCCATCTAACGAATGAAGAGGGCACCGTTATTGTCGAGACTGTAATGATCAAAAAGATCAAAACTTTTCTTAGAATCTGCTGCATTGCGCTGTTCATTCATTAGATAAGCAGACTGAAGAGTGCTCATTCAGTCACTTAACTGCCGCAGCAAACCTGTGAAGTTTCTGTTAGTGTCAAGCCATTTTAGTTTAAATCAATGACCAAATATGCCATAATGAGCAAAATGGAGAATATTTCTATAATGAACTAAATCACTCATACAATAGATAAATCAAGGATATTTGATAATCTAATTAGAGTACCTTTTTTAATCTTAGCAACAAGATCTACATAAAGATCCTCATTGTTGGATTCTCTCTTTGCACTCTGCTGACTGGCTTCATACATCACATGATCATAAACAGCCAACCGGTCTGCCACAGTAAGGTCACATAATGAGCGCTTATGGTTCTGAGGGATGTCCGGGAGACCTGCAGATGTGTCACCCACAACAAGAAAAGAAAAAGTATATTTTAATAAACATCAAAAACTACTCTTTTATATTTGAGATTTGTTGTGCAAATGTGTTTATTATTAGGACATATTTACAAATTAAATATTAAATGACGAGTCTGAAAAAACAACAACAAAAAAAAATCCAGTTCAGAAATAATAAGAAAGACACTCCCATAACGTAATGGGACAAGCCAACCTTACATTTCCTTATTTAATTATTTTTTTATGTTTATTAAAAAGGGGTGTAACCCATTACAAAATAAATGAAAAGAAAAAAATATTCAGGATCAAGGCTTTAAAAGGATATTGAGCCAAAGGATACAGCAAGTATGAGTAGATAAATTGTCTAGACCAGACTTCCTTAAATACTCACCCCTGTTACTGGAAGAAAAGAACACAGATAAACATTGAATATATATTTTTAAAAGAAATTATAAAGATGTGGATGCTACTAGTGCATTTTGGCACACAATTTCAAATATGCCACATTACTTCTTATGAAAGTGCTGAAATCACTGTTTAGATGAAGCCGCAAGCTAGCTTAATACTAACTTTGTGTGTGAAGTCCCGTTGATCTCCAATGAGACGCATTTTCCCTGCTCTGAAGAATTATTTGCTGAAATGTGTCTTTTTCTGCAGGAGATAAAAGCAACCATTGACCAGCCACACACAGACAGCAAAACTCTCAACAATCCCAAAACATCAAAAGTATGCTCATTAAGAACTTATAAGAAAATATTTTACCAAGAAAAGAATAACAATAAAAACTCACCTAGGGAAATGGAAGTAATGTTAGCTTGCTCATAGTATGCTGATGGATCATACATTTCAGCCTGAAAAAAGAAATGGACAAACCAAACACCACATTTTTATTACAAGATATATTAATACATTTTGCAGTCATTTAGTATATGGTCCTTTATTTACCTGTTCTTCTTTAGAGTATCCCTGCTGTGTGAGCCAACAGACGGCTTTGTGTTTCTCCATCTTGTTCTGTGGAACTGTGTGGTTTGGATCGTATGGACAGACTTCCATCTATCAAATTATAAAAGAAATTACACAAATGAAGCACAGATATATTCAAAAATGTCCCAAATATCTTACAGATTTAGGCAAGATGATTTTTGGAGGCTACAGATGATGCCCAAATGTGATAGGGACACCCGTCTTAAAATTTAAAAGCCATCTTCTATATAGTTTTTTTTTCTTATATTGATTTATTTTATTTAGTTTTTTTACTTGAACCTTACTTAATCATACAGTTTGTATTAATAATCATATAATAATAAAAATAATAAAAATAATAATAATATTGTTTTAACTAATTTTGTATACATTAGTTTTTTTTTATTAATGTGTTTATTTATGTTTAAAAGATTTATTATTTATTTATACTATTTAATTTTTTATTATATTTTCCCCCAAACATTTTAGCAGAGTTGTGGCCCCAAAAAGGTATAGCTTAGCAATAAAATAAAATAAATAAATAAATAAATAAATAAAAATCTGTCATCAACTATTCTCCCTTTGCTTGTTCCAAAGCTGTTTGACTTTGTTCTTCTTTCGAACACAAACGGAAATAATTACATTTGAAATTAAATTTGTTTATGAAAGCAGAAAACCAATCCAGTAACCATTGACTTCCACAGTAGAAAAAACAAATACAATGGAAGTCAATAGTGGCAGGTTTTTTTTTTTTTTTTTTTTTCAAAAGAAGAACGAAGCTAAACAACTTTGGACCAACTGAAGGAAGAGTAAACATTCATTTTCCTTCAGCCCTTATTCATTAGGGGTCACCACATCTAAAATGAACCGTCAACTTATCCAGCATATGTTTAAGACAGCGGATGCCTTTCCAGCGACATCCCAGTACTGGGAAACACCCATACATTCTCACATTCACACACATACATACACTACAGACAATTTAGTTTATCCAATTCACCTACACAGTAGGGCTGTGCACTATAGACAAAATAATCATATACGATTTTATAAATGAATGTTGTGATTACGATTTTATTTGCGATTTTGGCCACTGTTTTTGCTTGTTCAAACAAGCTACATACATACATTCTAAATGTATTCAGTGCACAAGAAGTGCATAATAAAACATTTGGGTGAAATATCCCTTTAAGAAGTTTAATGTAAAAACAGGACTACAAAAGAAGTAATAAATAAATACAAACGAACAAACCGAAGTTAATAAAATAAAACAAACAGAAAATCTAACGAAATGCTACATTTTAGCAACCATCTCTTGCAGTGATCCCATAGACATATACCTATATCTATGCAGTATATATCTATGCAGTGATCCAATCTTTGTGCAGATATACAAAAGAAGTTATTATTATTAACGACTGTAAACAGAACAAAAAATGAAAAATTTAAACACTTCTATTTTAGTATGAAACCACAGACATGCCAACGACGGTAGTGTGGTGCAATTTGTTGACATTTTAAGCTAGTATAAACTCAATCCTACACTATTAACATAAATGTTACAAAGAATCAGGAATTCATTCACTGCTTAATTAATTCTCTTATAGTAACATGTGTTTGCAAGCATTTTACCTGGACTGCATGTGTATCTAATTCCTGTTTCCATCCCAGCGCCTCAAACAAATCCTTCAGCTCAGCTTGGCAGTTTTCTGTGAAGTCTGTGAGCTCCTGAAGACACTGCATGCGCTCCTGGAGACCCGAAACAAACGATGTTTCACACATTTTACATTAGGAGAGCTCGAAAGTACGCCTTTCTTCTGCGAATGTTGTCTGTGCGAGTGATAGGTGCGGCGCTTTAAAATGACGTAAGCACGACATGACGGCGAACAGTGGTTGCCACGACCGTGAAAATCCCTTCTACACCACATGCGTATATATACATAGATATGTATGCGTATATGCTTATTTCACTTGTTGGATTGTAAATGTTAATTTTCACAAATCTAACATACATAACCATTAGTCAAATAATTCGAAGATTATTCTGTAACACCAGTAGGATTAAATATAATTAGTATGCTATATAAATATCTAAATTGTTGATATATTTAATCGATTAAATTTAAATATATTAAATGAGTGATAAATAAATCCCACAACTTATTTCTTGTTTTTGATCAACAAAGTAAAATATATTTCCTATAAATTAAGTATAGTCTACCTTTCAAACATTTACACGTTTTTTTTAATGATATTTCGTCTAGTGGCTCTTTCTGTTGTGATTCTGATATTAATTGCCATTAATTTTTTAAATTTCCAGTTTGCAATGTGTGTAACTTTCTTTCTTTTTATTAATTATTTATTTTGTTATAATAGTAGTATTATTATTTATTAGATTGTAAGTGACTGTGCATTGTTGGATCATTAGGCCTAAACCAATGACTGTAAAAAATAGCATATTAATAATAATAATAATAATAATAATAATAATAATAATAATAATAATAATAATAATAATAATAAAGCACTTAGGTACAACGTTAAAATGCAAGTCATTTTTTATTGATATTTACTGTGCATTTTATATTCTTATTACAAACAAACAAACAAAAAAAAATCAGTAGTCCCAATTAACATTATTTGTGATGCTTTTTACAGTAGTTGCAAGTGTTTTTTCAAAACACACATAAACACAGTGGTGAAAAGAGTACTGAAAAATCATACTCAAGTAAAAGTACCATTACTTGGCCAAAAGTGTAGGTCATTTGTTTATTTGTTTGTTCATATTTTGGTTCCTTCCTTCCTTTGTTTGTTCAGTCCTTCCTTGAATCCTTCCTTCATTCATTTGACGTCTTTTCTTCGTTCATTGGTTCGGTCATTCCTTACTTCATTCGTCCTTCTTTCTATTCCTGGTTCAGCCAGATTCCTTTTTCAGCCCTTACTTCCATTCTTCTTTCATTCAATTTAGTGATTGTTCAACGCTGTTTGGTAATTTCAGTCATCATACAGTCAACATCCTCCATTTACTCATCATGCAGTCTATAAACAATGGTCTCTGGGTCAATGCATGTAAAGATTTTGGACATCCCCTTAAACATTTTTAATGCTTCCAAAAGGCTTGCTGCATTTATAAAGCACCCATGTCTTGAGGTTGTTTAGTATGATGCGATTTACTTTCTACATGCGATTTGATTAAACAGGAGACTCATTTTTCTGCTTTAGCCAATCACCATAGACCGGAAATAATGACTGCAGGTAGAAGGAAAATGAAGTAACAGTACTGATACAGCACTAAAAATGTACTCAAGGGAAAATAAAAGTACACCTTTTTAAAAATACTTAGTAAATTACAATTCCTGAGAATAACTACTCAACTACAGTAAATTGAGTATTTGTAATTTGTTACATTACACCACTGCATCTGCATATCTTTGTACCACAAAATGTGCAGCGCCTAACCTTCAAAAACTAGTCCAAAGAATGTGTGGATTCAGTCTATGGCAGCCATTAGTTCCAAAAATCTAAATGAAATGTGTGAAATTTCACTGTGCCAGAAAGTAAAGTTTGACTGTGGCAACATTTTGATAAGAACAAAAGTCAACCGAATTGTTTTCATATGTGAAGTGGGTGTGATAGTACATTGGAACATATACAAACATCAGACCATGCTTATTTGTCAGTGAGCATGTCTGTACTGTATGCATTCAAATCTCCAATATCTGGTTGTTGAATCACCTTCTGTAAAAAGGTGTTTAACACATTAACAATCTGCTCAATCAGATTTCTTTTGACCCTGCTTGGCTTCATGAGGACTTTGAAATCCTCATGAAATCAAAATTAAAGTTTTGTTAAATTAAATTAATCTTTATTTCTTTACCGCTTTTTACAATATAAATTGTGGCAGCTTGACATAGGAGGAGAAAAAAGAATAAAAAAGCCACAACAATATTTAAGAATGTGGAAGATTCCGGCATATGAGGCAGGCAAATTATATATTATATTATATTATATTATATTATATTATATTATATTATATTATATTATATTATATTATATTATATTATTTTTAATTATATTATTTTTAATTATATTATATTATATTATATTATATTATATTATATTATATTATATTATATTATATTATATTATATTATATTATATTATAAATTGCATGTCAAGCTATATAATCCAAAACTCACATTCAGAAGGTAAGTGCATTCAAAATGTACATTCTCTCCCTTCCACCAACATGAATTAAGCTTAATAATAAGCTGTTATATGTAAAGCACTTTGAATTGCCACTGTGTATGAAATGTGCTATATAAATAAACTTGCCTTGCGCCTTGCCTTAATGACATTACTTAGCTCTTCAGATTTCGATCTGATTTTCTGTCCAATCAAATGTGTCCATTCCCCCACATTATAAACTGCATCTTAACCATGATTTTAACCCTTGTGTTGTCCTAGAATTCGGTGTACACCGTTTGCCCTTTGGGTCAAAAATGACATTCCTTCAATAAACCTCTATCTAAAGCAGCCAGATTTTATTTCAATCCTTAACACTATTTTACATGAAGAAACAACCTCCTCTTTATCACAAATGTACTTTTTCCCCCCTCATCAGTATGGAGATTTTCCATCAATGTTTAATCAGTGAACAGCATTCGTTTCAGACTAAAGTAAAACATACATTTTCTAATGCTAAAAGTATCTGCATATGTCAGTTTTTTTTTTTTTTTTTAGCAAGACAGATTTCATAAACGTTTAGGCAGATGAGTGTTTGTGTGTGGGTTTGAGGGGTCTGTGAGTGTGTTGCAGTGTGCATGTGTGTCCCAGCCTGTAGATTTTGTGTTATAAAAATGGTTTTATAGCTGGCAGGTCAAAATTGTCTCAAAGGACAACCATTGTCCCTAAATGTGTGCAGCCTTCATGAAAATATAAAATTTAATTAAATTTTTTTTTTTTTTTTTACTTTGTTTTCATCTTGTAAATCGTCCTTGAGCACTGACAAGGAGCTATATTAAATAAATGTAGCATTAGTAGTATTGATTTTTTTTTCTACCAGGGTCATTTTAGGAAAAGTCAACAAATTTCAAGATAAAGAAACATTTAGGTTTGTTTTTCTGCCATAAAATGGGGCCCAGGTAATTTTTCAGCCCTAAGACAACAGGAGCTTAAGGTCCAAGATTCAGAATAAAAGTTGGACTACTCGAAATAAAAAATGACATTACTTTTTACGGAGGCATCTTTCTCCAGCCTCCGGCGGCAAAACTGCAGCTCTGCACAAGAAGTTTGGCCAGAGTAGAAATGGTCATGCTCAACTGAGTCTGGTTACCCTCAAGGTTTTTTCCTTCACTTTCGTCAATTGGTGAAGTTCGTTCCTCACCGCTGTCGCCACTGGCTTGCTTGGTTTGGGACTTGTGGAGCTGCCCATCGATGGATTTGCTCTTCAGTGTTTGGACTCTCAGCAGATAACATTAAACCACACTGAAGTAAACTAAACCTCAACTCAAGTTTCAGTTTTCTATAATGTTTAATGTTAAGCTGCTTTGACATTATCTACATTGTAAAAAGACCTATATAGAAATAAAGATACATTGAATTGAACTTTCGTCATATTGTATGTTTCCACAACTGGATGTTGGACTGAAAAAAAAATGTTTGGATTCATTGATGCTTTCTTTGATGGGTTATTTTCACACGTTATGATGGTATAGCAATCAAAATAAGACAAATGAGCTGATGTTTGGGATAATACTGGACCTTTCATCAGTGGGGGGTGGGTCTTTCAAACCCCCTGGCTATGGGCCTGGTTGGTGAATGGCACATGCATGAATTATGAAGGAGATAAATGATTCAGAAAATGTAATGGTTTAGGATAAATGAAATATGAATTTGATTCCTACCACTACAGTATGTCCCACAATTATGTAAGCAATATCTTTTTTTTCTCTCTAATATTATGCTTTAGGCGGAAAAAATCTATGGGCTACATTGTAGTTATCTGACACCTTACACTGTAAAACCCAAAAAGTTAAGGTAACTCAAACCGTTTTGCAACAAACTATTTAAGTTCAAAAACTAATCCTAATGAGTACTATGAACTTAATCCATTTGAGTAAACGAAGCTATTTGAGCACAGTAAAACCCAAATATGTTAACTCAACTCAAACCATTTGAGGAAACTAAACAAACCATTTGTGGAAAAAAACTAATTTATATGAGTACTGTGATCTCAATTTAAGCTGAAGTATTGAGGTATTTAATTAACTCATTACCTTCAACACTGAGTTCAAAACTCTTTTCAGATGAGTAAATTTTGAGTTAACCACACTCATATCATTTGATAAAGTTAACTTTTGGGTTTTACAGTGTTATCGTAGTAAGCGGTCATTCTATTGTTGACCACCAGATGGCAGCACATCTTCATCTAATGAGCAAACACGTTTCTTGTTTTAGCAACCGTATTGATGTAGACTCAGATATCAATTTTATGAGGCTGCCTACGTCGTTGGTCCAAGACAGCAAGCTTCTGGCTTAACAATATGACTCACTTTATAAAGTAAGCAGAGCGCGTGGTAGAGCTATCTATCTACGCTTTCCTGATTCTTATTAGAATAACGTTAGTCTACATGACCGCAGTGAATCATTGTGAACTTTCCTCTTTTCACTGTATTCATTTCATTTTGAAGGACTTCACTTCCAAAAGCATTTCAACATAATTATGCGAAACCAAATGAATCATCGATTTTGGTATTATTGTTGTAAACCTTGAAATACAAGACCGTTAAGTAACTTGAACAGTTTCCTGCAGAGGCAGATGCTTCACGTGTTTTAGACATTACAACACCCGACTGTGTATTAAATCAAGGAT